TGACCTCTAGTGCACCCATGTTTTTAGCTTTTGCTCTGAGGAAGTGAAGCAACTGAGAGGATGTTTGTTTTTGGTGTTGCACCTGGACATCATCCTCACATCCCCAGCTTATTAGTGGCGTTATTTTCACTGGTCTAGGGTTACACATCTCTGGGAATATAGCCGGTACGGGAGGTAGCAGTATTGGTGGCCTCTCTGCACTCATCTTGGGAGTTTGAATAATGGCAGGTGGAAGAATCGCAGTATCTGGTGGGTGTCTCTCCTCAAAAACAACAGCATGTTCTTTTTCATCAGCCTGTAAGTAAGAGGATGAGCTTGTAGTCGTAACAGTACTGCTGTAGCTGTCACATATCACGTCTTCTTGCAGGACCACTGCAGGCGGGGCGATGAGGAAATGTTTCATTTGCTGAAGGGACAGTGTGGCTCCAAGCACATGGACAGCTTTGGCAATGGAGCTCGCCATGAGCGAGTTCTGCAACATGGGCCCAAACTTGAGAACATCTGTCATTAGGATCCCTTTTTCTCTGAGGGGCTGAAGTTGGTTTGTTCTCACTCCATTATTGACACAAATTTGTGACTCTGGAAAGATGAGAAAAGCAGAAAGAGAGGTTGTTTTATTAAATGAAGCTGCACTGAAAATCTTTTCCACTGGATACCTGTAGGGATGGGTACTGAAACCCAGTATTAGTGGGCTCCGGGGCTAAATTATTAAAATACTGTAATATTAACAAGGTCCGACATTGTCGGTTCTGCTGTCGACATTGGAGAAATTAAAATATCTGTCTATAATGCATTTTCAGTATTCCCCCATCCAGAAGAAAGATCTCTCTCTAAGAGCATATTGCATGTGCAAGGGGTGGGGCCAGCTCTAGTCTTTGTCTCTCTCTCTCTCTCTCTCTCTCTCACACACACACACACACACAGACAGACCCTGCTCATAGTGACAATGGCGGAGAGAGCTAAACGCTCAACAGTCTGGTTACACTTCACTTTATTGGTGCCACAAGTGCACCAATTCTTTTGCATGTAAGGGCAGAAACACTAGCAATCTTTCCAAACATCTAGCTAATCATCGGTAAGAGTAGTGCCCTTAAAATCAAAACCTTTGGTACACTTCTCTTACACAAGGATATTAGCACACATTAACAGCTACATAAACAGTATGATTAATTTTCGACTTACCAACTGTGAGGTCCTTTAATAAAGCCGAGAGCTTGGCAACAGCTTGACCTTTTGTATCCAAAGCCTTGGCGAGATCACTGAACGCACTCGTGGGAGAAGATGCATTGAAGAAACCTTGAACCTCTTCATAGGCCTGAGGGAAAAGTGAAACAAGTGATGTTGAAAGCAGAAGAGATTTTGTTTTTTCTGTTCATCCAACAATATAAGTAACAATCACTGCTGTGCTTATTACTCAACAACAATTTTGGTAATGATCTGACTAATTTACCAGACAATTTGCCATTCACTCACTGGTTTAAAGCTTCTCACATGTTTAATAATTTTCTGCTCACTGAATAACTTCAAGATAGGAAAAAATAAATAAATCATATTGCGATTATTTTGACAGATACTGGGATTGCGATATGATTCACAATTAGTGGGAATGATCATTTTTGCAATCACAATTTTAATTTCAACTATTAAAATTGTGATGATGTGACATTTGTTGGGGGTCTGTACCAATCAAACATGTTTTCTTACGTCTGGAGAACAAGATTTGTAGGCCAGGGAATATCTGTTGCTCCACATAACTTCATTATGCTGTTTTGATGATTTACTTTTGATTGACCTTATCCAAACATCACAGTTTTTGTGATATGGGTAATATTGCGACTAATTGTGCAGCCATACTTTGGGAAAATTTTAAATTAGTTGGAAAGATGCTTAATCTTTAATGAAAACATGCACTGACTGCAGCTCTGGCAACAATTATATGTAAAAATAAGCACTTGTTTCATTCATATTCAGCAATCTTAGTTGAGGGGTTATTTTTCATGTCAAGGACCCCCACTGTAGATGCACATTTGACCATGAACCCCCAATTTAAGTGGATTTGTCTGAAGTATTTTTTTATATTTAGGTTTTAAGATTATTATTTATAGTCAATCAAGCATCAATAAAAAAAAAAAAAAAATCAATAAAATATTACATTCCTTTAGCTGTACACCCCCATACAACCCACTCAAGGACCCCAGTTTTAACGCCACAGGCATTTGACCATGTGGCCTCTTTGCTTGCTAGCTAATGGTTAGCTCAATTAACTTACAGATAACGGGATGTGTCGACATTAAACATTACCTTCTTGGTGAAGTTGAGAAGTTCCTGTTCCAAAGTATTCCGGGCAGTTTCCAGCAAGAAGAGTTTGTAAATAAGCTGGACTTTCTGGCCGGTTATGGAGGGGTGTGGCTGGCAGTGGACAACCTGCTGCTGAGGAGTCATGGTCGGCCGGGAGGTGATTCCTGCTGCCGGACCCGGAGCCGGAGCCAGCCGGACCCGGAGCCGGAGCCGCGGGCTTTCTCTGCACGTCTGGTGGCTGACGTTAGCTAAAAGTGAAAAGACATTGTTAAATATTACCAATTTTTAACGGGACTCTTTGTTTACAGCTTTAGGGTTTTAATTCTTCTTTATTTCACCTCCTTCTTGTCCTTGCGGGATTTCTTCTTCCAACATGTGTCCTGCTCTTTCTTCAGCCGGAGCCAGCATACACCGAGGAGCCTCTGCCCGCCATATTGAAAACCATGTGTTGCAGCAGAGTGTCAGTGGTTGCAGCAGAGCTAGTTATCTAGATAAAGTGGATTCAAAGGAAAGGTGTTGACCTTAATGTTAGCGGGTGTCCTGCTCTTTCTTCAGCCTATCTGTCACCATAGCCATGTTTTGGGAGGACCTTTTACAATCACCCTTACTGCCTTCAGGACAATGTGGACTTTTAACAGGATACATTGGTGTGCTGGACTGTCAGAACTGTGTGCCAAAGAATCATTATATCATTATAACAAAAGTATACAGTGCACAGGTCATGGGTTCCTGCCATGGATATGAAAAACATTTGAATCCATAAGGAAAGGAAATAAGCTGTACAGGGCCGCTGCTGGAAATTTGGGTGCCCTAAGATAATTGGTGCCCCCACCACAAAAAACCCCAAACAATTATAAATATAATTATTAACCAAGACCTTAAATTCATATTTAAATAAAACACGAATCCATGATAGATCAATTGAAAATACATACAAACCTAGATTAAAAACATAATGAACAGTACAATAGCAGTACATTTGTGCCCGTTTCTAGGCTACAGGATGTAATAGTTGTGATGTGCTACTTCGATATGTCTCTAGAGGGAGCTCACATATTTTTAAAGCCTACAAATCAGCACTGTACAGTTGCCTAACCTACAAATGGATTGGGAAATGATGAGATAGAATCGGGCTACGAAGAAAAAGGTTCAGTTCAGCTCATCTGTCACCGTACCGGGGCTTTGCTGGAGCCCAACAGGGCCGGCAGTGACAATATTAAAAGCAAATATACAGTATACAATCGACAGGCCCACAGCGGGCCACTGGGATTTTGCCCATTTTAAATAATGGCCATGTGTATTCCTGACATCTGCATGAATAATGTTATTCCACAGTACCGCATCAGCTGGTTCATGACCATTGTTACCCTCCTTTATTCCAATGACGAGAAAGAAAATATGGCAGATACATATTTTTATAAATAATATCATTAAGAGGATTTCTGTATTATATATTTCCTCGAGTGACTTGCTATTTATACTGCTGGGAGAAGGAAGCACAGTGCATTTGTTCAGAAAACTGCAATTCCAGGTCAGCATATTTCTAAATAGAACAGCGGATGAGAGCAGAACAAACAGCTCGATGCTGAGATAGTAACTTTGTGTTTGGGTTTACAGCAGAACTGCTGCAACAGATTTTAATCTGACTTTAACAAGGTATGTGCAACAGTAATGGTAATGCCACTGACTTCTACTACATTTGTGGAAGTGGATATTTCTGAAGATAAAATCATCCTTATTTAGAGCGATTTTATTTTATTAAGAGAGACAATTGGGAAGGTATATTTTACTTAGGATAAGGTTTATTGGAAATACGGTTAGCCTAGAGGGAGAGGCTGACAGTGATACACGTCTTCAATACTTGCTCTAATGTGCAAACAAACAAGCTGCTGCTAATGTCTAAATGCCAGCTACCATTAATCACCAAGCAGAAGAATGAATACTATTTGCTACTTGCATTCCTTTGGTTTTACACCTAATACTATCCACACAGTGTTCCTTTCTTCGACTGCTCTTTGCTTGAACTTGTCAAGCTGCTACTTGATCTAGTTCCTAAATCTTGTGGGTGGGGCAACAAAGACATTTCCTACAGTTATATTGCTCAAGAGCCAGATTGATTGGCATCCTGGCTCTTGTGATGCTAACGCTGGCATCGCAGCCTTGGCTCTACCCAGTGGACAAAGAGGTAATGGCCATGAGAATTGCAAAATGCCACTTTGCATCAGTTTCAAGGAGAAAGATGTGTCAATAAAAAGACAACATGAGCATTGCTCAACAGGATATCCTCCTGCAACAGCAGTTTCTCCTTAGTGTCCCCTGAGCTACTTGCTCATATTGTAACAAAATCTTTTTTGTTTTGGTATATTTTATAGTGCAACATATTGCTAATCAATTCACTTCATACAATTCAAAGTTGGTTCACGTGTTGTTAGTTTAACCACATTTTAATGATTATGTGCTACTTTGGGAAGTCTTATATTCGTAAAAGGATTGGATCCAAATTCAGTCAGATTTATTGAGTGAGAATACGCCTCACACTGAATGATAGTAGCTTCTCCAGTCAATATTTTATGACCTAGTGGAATTTGCTCAACAGAAATTCACAGAAAGAGAAATTTTTCCCCTTCCCAGAGCTCTATGATTTATTCTACAGGTACAGAAATGGGTGTTTCATTCATTGTAAAATGAAGACTGCCAACATGTTCTGGTTATTAGGTATAGCATGTTTATTATGTATAGCATAACTGTTGCCACATTCAACAGTCTCCCTGGGTCAGTGCCACATAATTTATACATGACAAAACACAAAATAGTGACATATATTAAAATGGATCTTGCATATACACACTTCAAATAAGCAATTTTTATTTATATGCTCATACAGAAACTCGTACATGGAAACTCGTACATGGTGTCTTATTAGCGTAGTGTTCAGGAGTTCAGTCCAGATTCTGGGAATATTGTGCAAGGCCTCGCAGATGTCATAAAAATTTGAGCCAAGGTTAAACTTTTACTTGCAAACAAGCATTTCACAATGAAGGATGGGCAAAAATTCTCCGCCTGATTAGTGAATTTGGCATGCACTGTAACCAAACAGCCTGGGAGTCGATAAGGCCAATTTCAGTTACAACATTTGGCTGCACAGGTCACGCAGCGTGATGCATGTCCTACAGACTAGTAATGTGCAGGGGAGTCATAAGAGAAAGCCTGAATGGAGATGAGAATTGAACCATTTGTAAGATGATGAGGATTTTACTGCATTATTAATTAAAGGTCTGTTAGTTTTTACAGTCTAAGAAGCCATTAAGTGCCACTTTGTTTATAGTAAAACAGGTCATGCAAACTGAAACTCACAGGATTTATGCTTCAGTTACTGCACTTTGCTCTCCAGTTTCTCGCTGAATGTATTTGGTTTGCTTGCTTTATATAACCCTTGTGCATTATGTAGAACAATGTATAAAAATGACAACAGATTTTAGATCACACTATAAATGATATCTGTGTGCAACATACCTTCCTGATGAAAGTGATCAACACTATTAATATAACAGCTATAAATAAAAAAATTATGATCATTTGTCCAAAGTGGATTTCCTGTGCTTTCGGATGAAACAAACAGTACACTGAAGTGTTTTTTGTCATCACAATGTTTCTATCACTTGAAAAGCATACAGTGTCATTGATATCGGGCAGTTTTATCTTCAACTCATGTAGGATTGTCAGCCATTTACTGTCACAACAGTTAAAATAATTTCCACTAATGTACATGAGATTTAGGTGTACAGATAAAGCAAGAATCAAAGAGTGGTTTAAAGACACAAAATGATTATTTCTTATGTCTATTTCTCTCAGGGGAGAGCAGCTTAAACTACTAGGTATCATATCTAGATGGTTGTTAGATATGTTCAGATGAGTTAACACTTGCATGCAGGGTAAAGATAGATCAGAGCTGTTCATGTTTATTTCACTCATAATCAAAGACTGAAGAGTCTGTTGCACACCTTCTAATGCATCCACTTGGATTACCATATGTGGATTCCTTGCAAGGTTCAGAGAAACCAGAGAGGTTTTTTGAAATGTGTTTGGCTGAAGCGTTTTTATGTTGTTTTCTTTCAGATTGAGGTGTTTAAGAGTCCGTAACTGCCCAAAGACAACACAGGATGTGTTGAGATCTATTTGCTGCGTTGATTGAGAGCTTTGCAAATGGTCCATAAAGGCACAGGGTTGCACAGAATTGTCTTGGAGATTAAACGTTTCTATTTGTGTGAGCGCACTGAGGAATCTCGGGGAAATGTATACAAGTCCATTGCTTTGCATGTCAAGGTACTTTAAGGAGGGGAAGAAAAGCTGCCGGTGGTATCCTGATTCATTATCTTTTCTAACATTCCAGATGATGTTTTGCAGACAGTTATAACTGAAATTCAGAGTCTCTAAAGATGAGAGAAGGCTCAAAGTCTCCAGTGGGAAAGAGCTAAAGTGGTTATAGCTCAGGTCAATATAAATCAGTGGCATCAGCCTCCAGTTTGAGTGTAGGTTATTTTTTTTGACTGTCCTCTCCTTCATAATCTCATTATAAAGAGCATTGGCCTCTGATACCATTGTAGCCTCTGAATTTAAGGCACCAACCATATTATTCTGTAAATGTAGATACCTCAAATTGTTCATTTTCGGAACAATTGGGAAATAAATGAGCTTGTTGTGACTCAGATCGAGAATTTCAAGCCTGTACAACTGGTCGTCCTCACGCGTAACAAAGAACTCAACTGAATTTCTGCTGAGATTTAGATATTTAACTTGATGTAATTTAAAATCACAGATATGTGCAAGGTTATTTTTGGCCAAGTTTAGTGTTTCTAATTGGCTCAATGATTCAAATGTGCCCTGTTCTATCACTGATATCAGATTGTCATCAATAGTAATGGACCTCAAACCTTTGTTCTCCCTAAACAAGTTGTGTGAAAGTCTTGTTAAAGCATTACCAGTCATCTTAAGTTGATCAAGAGAAGATTTGTTTCGAAGGTACCGTTCCACCGCATCATGAGTCAAATCGTTCATTGATATGTCCAAAATCTTCAGTCTACTGATGGATTGGAGGGCTTTGCTGTTACTGCCAAGGTTGTTGTTCAGCGCATTTCTGGACAAATTCAACTCTTCAAGTCGAGCCAGGTTTTCAAAAGCCCCTTCGGAGATGAGATCCAGCTGGTTGGAGCTCAGGTCCAGCTGCTCCAAGTATGGCAAAGCAAGTGTTTGCAACTGTCTGATGAAGTTATTGGACAGGTCTAGTCTTCTCAGCCGTGCATCCAAATCCAGAGGGACAGAATAGAGATTCTGGTTGTTCCAGGACTGCTCCTTGAAATGAAAGGAACATTAATCATAATCAAAGAGCAAACCATGGAAACCAAAGTCAAACAACTTTAGTTGTTTAAGGATCTAAAAACCAGTAAAAGTTCCAAAAAGTATGGACAAAATTCAAAGATATTACACTTTAATATTAACATTTAAATCATTAATCGTGAGCCTACCTCTGGCTCATGATATGTCAATCCAGTTGTATAGAGGTCATTGCTGAGTGACCAGAGTAGAAGAAGATGAGAAAACATATGTCTGACCATTCTCCCTCTGCTGCTGCTTCTGCTGCTGTACCACTAGTGTTGTCAGAGCTCATATACACACCTCACACACACCCTCTTATAGCCATGCTTCATTTAAAAAAAAGCGAGAGAGAAAGCAGCTGCGGACACCAGATAGACATTGATACTATATTTAGACAATAAAGGCTTGGCCACTGATGTGCCACCTACTATTAAGAAAACATCCGAGTAAGGACCCTTTAAATTGTATAAAAACAGATTTTTGGACAAAGATGGTCATATTTCTGTGTTTATTGTAACAAATTGTACAGATGCATGAATTTAAATTGAGTTTTGAACAGAAATACCAACTGAGAATGAATTTGTACAAAGGAACATTATCCCATTTATAACAACTTTAATTTTATCATGATATGTTCAAGTATTTACAGGTTTGAGGAGTTCGTGTCAACCAGGAAAACACCCCCTGAGCAGTATAAATTTATACTTTTGTTTGTTCCTGACATAGTCTTAGGAAAACGGAAACCATTCTAAAATAGACAAGAGGAACAAATAAACAGACAGCGTGGAGGTGGAGCTGGAGGGAAGCCCCCAGCAAGAGACATGCTAAAATAGACTGATGAAAGGAGGAAGCGCACACAAACAATGATAGGGGACAGGCCCAGGTGGACAGCCTGAAAGATAGTTTAAAGCTAAAGGATTCTAAAAGTGAACTGACACATGAGATGGGCAGATCATTAAAAAAATTCATCATGTATTTTCCTGAGGTTAATGACAGGTCCCAGAAGTTTTCCTACTGCTGTCACTCGGTCCTTTATCAGCATCCCCTCACGCTGCTCAGTGTCAGCTTCTTACATCCTGCAACAACGAGCTGCATAGTTATCATCTTCATACCGTCTTGTTTCAGTTTAGCTGTATGACACCAAAAAAGGTCTCTACATCCATAGTGATGAGGACTTCAGGCTTGTATGGTATCACCAGTTCCAGTTCATCGTCCTGTTGCAGCTGCACTAAACCTATGACAGAGGATACATAGAAGAAGGCATCAGAGAAGAGACAAGATGGGTGACAAATTAAAGAAAAAACCTATCTAGAGCCAGTGTTTGGTTTGTCTGTTTTGGACTACTATAAAAACAATTAGCAGTTCAACATGGTGGACATAAATACGGTTCATTCTAATGTAACAAAAACATAACAATTCCAGAATAAGGTGATTATGCACTAAGGAAAACATACCTATGAATATTATATTTAATTTCTGCCAATAGATCCTCCTTAATGTTATGCACAACACCTTTGAAGTTAAAGGTGTTGGACTCTACTGTACAGTACATATGAACCACCACTAGCCAATTAGCTTAGCATAAAGAGTGGAAACAAAGGGAAACAGCTAGCCTGGCTCTGTACAAAGGTACAACATCTTTCTACCAGCTCCTCCAAAGCTCACAGAATTAACATATGGTATCTCATTTGTTTAATCTGTACAAAAACCAGAGTGTAAAAATGATAGTTGTGGTTTAAGGGGAGCTATTTCTTGGCTAGAAGCAGTCAGGCAACCTCAGGCTGACGTTACACTCAGTCAGTCACTACTCCTGGTCAAGAAATAATCTGGTACATACCTACTTGTATAACCACAATGTGTTGTTTTTACTCCTAGGATTTTGTATTAACAAACAAGGTATATATATGTATGTATATACATATATATATACAGACCAAGGCCAGCTAGTCTGTGTGCAAAAATAACCTAACCATCTGCTTGCTGTAGCTTCATATTTTCAATGCAGTCATTACAGCTGTATCAATCTCCTCATCTGACTCTTGTCTAGAAAGCAAACAAGCGTATTTCTCAAAATGTGGAACTATTTTTTTAAGCGGCCACACAGTTGTGCCTCACTAACCTGCAGTGTAGCATGTGTTGGCAGAGTTGGGAGGAGTTTCATCTGGCATATCTTGCAGGCAACACAAGAGCTCTGTTGAGGTCCCCTTGTTCGCGGAACCCCAACTTTGAATGATATAACCCACAACTGTGCTTGGCCTTTCAAACAAAACCTGTGAATTAAGCAGAACATTAGCTGAACAGTTGGAACAAATCAGATGTAATATCAACTTAGTTATGCTTGAATTAGAGTGACACAATACTTGTCCAAACACCAAGTAATAACCATCTTCTTGGACAACAATTCTGTTTTCCTTTTGTGAAATTGCATTTCCTTGCTGTACAGAAACAGTCCAAGGGATCACTGCTATATTTCCTAAGGGAGAAGGCAAGATACACTTATTCAAAATAATGGCATACGGTGCGATTCTAAAGCCAAAGACTTGAATTTAGTTTTACCTCTTATGTCTGGCTGTTTGTTAGTGTTAGCTGTTAACTGTAGGAATGATGTTGGAGCTGGCAAGAAGGAGAAATAAACATAATACTTTAATTTTATTAACTTAGCATACACAGTTTATGGTCTCACTACCAGATTAGACCGTAACTAATGGACACATTTTCAGTTCTCAGCTCCAACCCACCTCTGCAGCTGCCCTGTTCCCGTTTTACTCTCCTAGAAAATATCTTCGCAGAACTCTGAGCTTTTTGCAAAGTACTTGGCTTTATGTCCTAAGAGAAAACAAAGCATTAGGAGAAAATTTATTATTACAGCGCTATCTGAATACTCACTAATGGCATAAATCTCAGTAGTACAATGTCCAAGATGACTCCATCCTGTATAATCCGTGACATACCTCCCTTGTTTTAGACATCTTGGCCACTTTCCCATTGACTCCCTCAGAACGTGGCTGATTTAATTGTAGAATTATGTCCCCTTGGAGTTTGCGAAAATCATTTTCTAAAACACTGGCTCTGTGCACTAGGAAAAGACTAAGACAAAACATAAATGCTGTTAGTGATAATAAAGCATTGTAAAGCATTGTGAGACTAGTGAGACAGACTGATGTCCTCAAGTTACTCAAATGGGTGAGGTCACACATCAGTTAACCCCGGAAATCTAAATGTTCAGTTTCAAAATTTGTTTCTAAATGAGGAACTATCTTCTTTCTGCTGCTCAAGATGGAACTCATTTAGATTGCATGAAGATTACAGCCAAATTTGCAGTGTATTGTGAAACTTTCAGTCAAAGTAAAAGCCACATTTTAATAAAGACAAAACGCCTCACTCAAAGAACATCATTTGTTCTTGTCAGTACTCGTGCCAGCAGAGTCCCATCTAAAAGAGAAGTTTTAACCTTTTAAATCAATACCACCGGCTGCACAAACAGAAAAGACAGACGAAAGGGTTTAGACAGAAAATGAAACATTTTAATCCATCAATCAACTCCATTTACAAAAGTATATCCCTTTTATATACAATATGTACAAAGACGTATAAACAACTATCATTTTTCCACATGGATTCATTCATACGGTAACTAAACAATAGCACTGTAACAAAACATATCACTGATATTCTGCAGGGATGCTGTAGTGCAAATGTGCGCAAAATATATAGTGCTGTTGCTCTGTGAATACCTTATAACTCCAATTTTAATTGATTTTTCTCAGCCTTGCATAGATACCTTTATACTTGCTTTGAACAAATATATGATCTTTTAATCATGTTTATAACCCAGGGGCATATGGAGCTTTAAGCCCCTTGTTAAACCACTTACTTATAACTGATAATATAATTAAATTAATTAAAAAGGGCCAACTATACAAACTGCAAATACAACATTTTGAATAGATGGTGTTTTTGGAGATACAAGATTATCATTCAACAGCACTTTAAAATATGTAAATATTAGGTATATGTCAGCGCAGTGTCCTTCCTTGTTATAAAGAGAGATGCCGTCTGTGTTGACACAAAATGGTGGCCATAAATAGAAATGTTTGTTTGACGAGGACATTTGGCTCATCGAGGCTGATCTCTTTGCACAGAATCAATACAGAGCTGTGAAAGTGGACAAAAGTCACCCAGGGGCGCCCTCAGCTTTAATAATCCCGAGGGTTTCAGCTTCCTCTAAACAGGGGGCAAGACTTGGGCTAGAAGTTGCTTGCTACTGATTCGACCGTTGTGAGCAACTTCTCCTTTCTGTAGAAGGGCTGGTGTGTTGTGTAGTTATCAGTTCTGTCCAGCAGATGGAGCCTCTCCAAGTCTGACACTTCCCAGGAAGGTGGTGTGGTTGGTCATACTGATGAGTGTGTCCTCATACACTATGCGTATGGAAATCCTCTGGCCGGCGCGGAGCAGGCTCACCCCAGCGGTGTAGCAGGTGTTGAACTTGCGCTGGCCCGTCTCGATGCTGCAGGTGCAGCGGAGGAACGGGTTGGAGTCCACCATCACCTCATAGCTGGCAATGTCGGTGAAGTTGAGGTAGTACACCTGGTGGAGAGGGGAGACATAAAATTCACAGAAGACTGAGAGGGGTAGTCAAAACAAGTCCACATGATATTTAAGAGCTTATTTAAAGCTGAAACAGCTGGAATATCAGAGTAGCCAACAAGGGGTTTGAGTTATAGACGTTCACATTTAGCCACAGGGAGAGGAAAAGAAATGTCTTAAAGTATAACTCAAACATTTATGGATAAACAAAGCAAGCAGGTTTTTAAGCTTAAATGCAGAACAACTGCCAGCTCTTTTGACTCTGAACTGTAAATTATAAGAGTTACGTCAAGGACCGTACTCACTTCTACCTGACTATATATGAAGTAGACACCATCCAACAGCACCTCCAGCTCTCCAGAGCGAGAGTGCATTTTAAACACGCGGTGATGGATGGACACCATCTTCCAGTTCCTAAGGATTCCTTCAGACAGATCTAAACATGTCACAACAAATAAACAAGAGGCAAAGAGTCAACATAAACAGCTATCAGCAGTGTTTAAACTACAACCAGAGCTCAGCACTGACAGACAATATAAACCTGCTAATGATGCTTACACTCACATTTATACTGTGTCATAACTGGAATCTGCTAACATGCAAGGCTTCTGCTCCTGACCTGAGTTAACACGGGTCTGGCTTATAATGTAAGCCTACAACTGTATACTAATCCTATAATAGGTATGGGATTACGCTAGGGTTACTATAATCTTATAGTAAATATTGGTAGCACTCTAAACCATAAAAATCTTAGGTTATGTAGGTGAGTGTGACTAAATAAAAAAAAAAAGTATATCTTAAAAAATGACTAAATGTGGCATGTTGAATCTGTAGTTTAAACATTTTTAATCAAGTGAATGTAAACAGTTTACAGTGTTTATATTTATTCTGGTGTAAATCTGTGGTTTAGCAGGGATGTGTTTAGTTGAACAGTTGCAGAGCCAGGTCCTTGACAAGAGACATTAACAGGGATTAAGCATGTTTATTGTTTTGTGTCGAACACGGCGGTGTAAATACAAGTAAGAACAGACAGAAGGCCCACCTTCTCTCACTTGAATGGTTGTCTCCTGCCCTTGCAAATGAACCACTGCAGGCTGAAAAACAAGAAATCTCTGGTGACTAATCTGGATACACAGTAAAACAAGGGAACAGCTGTTTCATCTGGGATTTTGTGTCGGATACAATTTAATTTCCAATAGGTGACATACTCTACCTGGAATTCCTTTGTTTTTGTCTTATCGGGAACCCCTGCAACAATAAGAGAGAGAGAGAGAGACATGATAAAAATTCTGGCCTTCAACACTGCTGAGGAACAAAGAGATGATGATTAAAACAAAACAAACACTGGCATACTTTAAAGATAGATCACTGCTATCCCACACTATGTTTGACATCTTGCATCAAACTCTCACTGTGAAGGCAATGAGTTCATCAATTTTTGTCAACTTGAGCTCCCTTCTAGTGTGGGAACGCAGCTACATGCAGGCAAATACTGTAATCTAAGAACAAATCTCTCAACTCATGGGTGTTTCCAAGTCCTCTGGCTTGAGTTTTGGCCATCTCAGCGTGTTATCGTGTAATTTCTATTCTATTATATACCTGCTGGACCTTGAGTCCCTGGAGGTCCCTGTGGCCCGGGGGGTCCAGGGGGTCCAGCAGGCCCCACGGCGTTGCTTCCTGGAATACCGGGGATTCCAGGGATGCCCGGTGGGCCCGGGGGACCAGGAGGACCAGGGGGGCCTGGTCTTTTTTTCCCTGTTAAGAGAAAGAAAAAATGGTTGGCGAACTAAAAATCTGAGCAGGTTAATCTTTTGACAGTCAATTTTATTTATATAGTTTGAAATCACAAATTTGCCTCCTAAGGGCTTTACATTCTGTACAAATGCTGTACAGACTGTAAATCCTGATATGAAGCCAGCCAAGAAGCAGGAATAATGTTCCTGACGGAAAAAATCTAATATTGAAAGCTTGTCATTTACTTAAAGCCAACACGGTTATTGGATTTTGGACAACATCGCGAATACTCCCAGAGAGTAGGCAGCAGGTAGCAGTCCAATCAATGAGCAGGATAACTGAAATGTAGGTAGAATTATGTATTACCTTTTTTCTTTTCTTTCCTTTTATCCCTTCCAGTCGATTCTGTAAGAAACAAAAACAGTGTGATTAAGCTTGAAATGGTCTCCTGAACAATTATCATCTCAGATAACATCTCGGGTATCCAGCTCATTCCATGTAGGTATCCTGAATAGGCTAAAATAACAGATTCAGATGTTCGGCACTGAACACTGTAGTGGAGGTATGTCAGTCTGTGGTATCTTCTAGTGTAGTAATTTGTAAGTGTGGTTTCACCTCCTCTGTATGAACAAGTGCCTTAAGCATTCACAGGCAGTGGAACTGGAGAAGATCATTAGAGAGATACTTTATCCTGCCAAAATCCTTTTCTTTGAATTAAGCCCAGATGGAGAATGCAGATGAAAGTGTGTCTGCATGTGAGCGTGCGCATGTGTTTGTGTGTGTCTCCCCTTTACAACCATGTGTATGTGTGTGCGTGCATGGATGTTGGTGGGGCATCTATGTCAGTGCTTGAAAGATAAAATGCACTTAGTGTGCATCTGTGTGTGTGTGTGTTCTGTGTGCAGCTGAAGAATCCTTTTCAAAAAGCCGTCTCGCTGCTCTTGTGTTTACCATGTCATTACAACTACAAAGGCCATTTAACCTTAAAACCTCACAGTTTGAGTCCCCCTCAAACATATGGCCAATGTTTCTCCTCTGGCTAAATGACTGGATGCATCCGCATAGATTTCTCTTAACGAGCAGCCCTATCTGGAATCTGGTGCCCGTTAGGAGTGCCCAGAACGCACACATACGCACACACGTGCAAACACAGGACACACACACACACACACACACTCACTCACACACACACAAACACACATCTAAGGCTGAGATTACAAAAGCCTTTGTCTGTGCGCTGAGAGCAGAGGAGAGACCTGGGAATGATTAGTGTTTAGAGGCTCGGGACTTTACTGATTTATGTAGAAAGTCTCAAAGGTGAGTTTTTTCTTCTAATTTAAACACAATCACTAAACTTCCCCCCAAGTATTCAGTGTCACGCCACAGACATTGGAATGCCTTGTGATCATGCTGCACTTGTTGCTCTCAGACATGAAACTTCAAAGGCTTCGCTTTTTTATTTGCATAGCTCACATTCTAAACAAAAACTACAAAAGCAAATTCAGACATATTGGCCATATGGTTTTCTGTGCAGCTATTGATTACGATAAATCAATTCAGTGGAATTAATGAAAGCCATAAACGTCTGAGATGATAACCTCTTTTAGAAATGGCCACATAGTTTCTTAAAATGACTGCATGTTCTACAAAGTGATACATTTGTTTTTTGTGTGATTATTTTCTAATGGTATGGACCTGACTAATACACAGTTGGATTCAAACGTCCAGATCTGCTTACTTGACAGATGCAAAAGATATTTCGGGGACCCAATATTATTTTGAGACGGGGGAAATCAACGCAGGCTTTGCTGTCTGTTTCAAATTGGTGAAACCCTCCCAAACTCCTTGTTGTCCTTGTTTGCTATCCAAGTAATAATCAATCCCATTCCGTTTAATCTCTTGCTCTATAAACTCGGCAACATTATGTGGTGGAGCTGCTTTGTTAAGTAAGCACAAAGCAGTAAAAAATCAATTTCACAAAAAGTGGGAAACCATTAACAAACTGTTTTTAAAAATTTAAGAGCCTTAAGCCCACCAAAAGCCTATTATTTACACTGAACTGAATCCCCTCCAAACAAACAAGAGTTACAGAAACCATAGCTCAACAGTCGACCGGGCCATTGCCAAGTACATATCCAGAAAATAGACTGATGCATGCAGGTGCACCACAGAGCAATGGTCTGTAAGGTTCTTGTGTCATTAAATGTACTGAATTTGGAGTTTGAGCTTAAAAAGATACAGAAGGGGGGAACTGTGAGACAAGAAAGCTGTCAGCATACAAATCCTGTATTAGGACCGAAGACACAGACAGCACTAAATGATGATATATTCTAAATAAAACATGCCTGTTTCTGGCTGCTTGCCGGGACTCCTTTTCGCTCGCTGAGTTATGCCCCTGTTATCCTCTGTGGCATGGAATTCACTGTTTCTGTGCAGTAACTTCTCCTGGTGAAAAACAAAGGAAAATATTAATGAGCATGGGTAATTCATATTAGCAGAACATTCAAGAGGGCCACTGGCTCGATACACAGGGCCTCTCCTCAGAATATTAATACCAGCCAAGATCACCTTATATTAATTCCGTGAAGCAAACAAAAGGGATGAGTGATACAAGGTTTTGAGAGCGAAACCCATGTTACAAGTGGCCTTTCTATTCTTGGGGTATATTGTTTGCACAGAGACAACTTGGGGCATTTGAAAAGATGTGAGACACTGTCAGCCAGCACATTCATTGGTGGCCAAGTCATTGTCTGTCCCATTGGGGCTGTAACCTATCCTGTAACCCAAGTCACTTTTGTCTGTGTTTCTGCCGTTTGAGACAGTCACCTGGACACGACTGCTCTAAAATTCACCTTTTTATACAAAAGGAGGACATGAATTGTGGTTAATCTGAGAGTAATACCCATTCACATGGCACCTGGTCCCAGCCCTATTCAGAGGTTGCATGAATAAGCTAAAAAAAAAATGGGAGTCAAAGAAAAGGATCTGATGTAGCTGGTCTGAGCTCATCCCTAAAAACAGGAAACGCTATGCTACAGTGGTGGGGTGTTCCCATGGGCGAGTGAGTGGCGGGACAAACCACATGCCTGTGTTCTTATGTGACTGGTTCTGGTCGACCTACATTCACATGAACTCTGTAGGACGGGCTGACCTGACTGTAACACGCTCAAGACGTGACCGGCTCAGACAACAAAAAAACATGTTTCGTGCTAAGGGTTCCGAGTTGAAAAACGCAGATTGTTCAAAGTCGCCTTCAGTTAGAACAGCCAGTTTGTGATCACATCTTTGGAGGATTCCCAGAATCCGATAGACAAAGAAACTCTGCACTCGAAACACAACAAGACCACCCAAGGCCTTCTTTTTGTCGAGCCTCAAAATATACGAGTGCTTTTGGTCACACTTTGGAGTGTCAGCATAAATAATGGTAAAAGAGCAAGATAAAGGCTCTCGATGGCTGACGACAGAGCAGACAACTTGTATTTGTGCTGGACATCTGCTTGGAGTTTGGATAACTAATCTCCAAAAGCAGTGACACGTGCAGCACCTTAGCATGGATCAAAAGATAACAAATAATGATGTATCATTTATTCTTATTGCTGGGGATGAATCAGACAAGCTTGCTGACAGACACTTTGACCTCTCTTTTTCCGTGGGGGCCTACCCCAAGATGACACGCTCCATGTTTCCATCTGTGACCTTCAAATAAACATACTCCGACGGCGAGAAACTCTCCTTCTCCCGAAAGCTGCGTGAACTCCCAGTGCCTCTTTGTGTGGTTTTCCAAGCAGAGCCACTGAAAGACCATGAGAGGAGAAGACAAGAAAAGTTATGTTTCGAGTTTATTCTATACCTCGACTCAGATGTGGGAACCCACCCCCCCTTGGGTGAGGGATGAGCTGTATCATGTCAAACACCCCCCGCTGGCGGTGTTGGGCCAGCTCAGAGCAGTTAAAGTCTACATCCCTGACCAGCTGCCAGCCATGTCTGACCTTATGAGCACGGGAATTCCAGCCTGATGGAGGAGTATGTGTTGGAATGGTTTATCGACACACACAGACCTCCAGATGTTCCCGCGAGCAGCGACGTTTGCTGTTCATTTGGTGTGCAGGTGTCTCCACATCTCCTCTCCAGCTGTTGGCATATAGAGGGCTTTTACCTCTCAAAGGATTCGGGGTGTATGTTCAGGCATATGGCATTACACTTTCGTCTGTTCTGACAGCCAAACATGATTCAACAGCCAATTTCTGGCCCGAGATTAAGCTCCAGCAGAACGACAAAAAACAAACAAGCAATCTGCTAGGCTACTACCAAAACTGGTGCAGCTTGTGTTGTTGATGAAGGCAACAAAGCGATAAAAAAAGAAAAGAAAAAAGTTATTCCATTATACGACTATGAGAAATGGTTTTGCGCCCTTGTTTGCTTCATTTCACTTCATTACAACATTTACAGCCTTCATACCCTTCAAAGGCATGCAGAGTTACAGTAAATCAGGATGACAATGTGTTGGTATGTATGCCAAGTGCCAACTATTGAGTAAACCATTCTTTTTCAGCACAAGGGAAAAAATGCTATTAATTAGAGGGCTTTCAAATCTTCAAAGCGTGGGGGGGTGCTGTTGCGCGCAGAGGACGCGATTCCCTGTTGTTCCGTGAGGATATGACTAAAATTCAGTCACCCCAGGGATGTGTAATTTTGTGATCACAAGACTTCTTTTTTGCCCTATAAACACTTACTATTACAACGGCTTGTATTCCTAACGATTTCTGCACTTACACTATTGAACTTCCCTGACATTCTGAACTTTTCAAGCTGTTTATGAAGTGTGAAGAGTGTTTTTTTTTTTGTTTTTTTGACCAGTACTGTTTCCTAGCTCATATCTCTCCACAAATACAGACATTTTGGCTTCAGTAACGCCCCTAAAATCTTGGACCCGAAGTGACAATTAGTCACTAAATTGCGGTTAAGAATGTGAGGTTGAGGTGAAACTCTGGGCTGGTGTCTGTGGGTGCCAGATGCATGGGTGTCTATCACTGCTGTACAGGGAGAACTGAACGTTCGCAATACTCCCGTGATTCACACTCCTGGATAGAACAATGACAGCGTGTTTTCTTCTTAAATATCATACAGGAGTGTTCTTGCCTCAGCCAAAACCAGACACTGCTCTCTGGAAGGCCATGTGTTTTAAACCATAACTTGGGTAATTTAATAACAGTGTCCATAGATTGTCATCTAAAAAAGCTGTAGAGCTCAACCTAAGGGAAATGTTGCCTGTCAACAGCCAATCACATTTCAGATTGTTGCAACACTGCTGGCAAAGTGACTTCTAGCTGAATGCTGCGAATGCCTGGAGAATTTATTATTTTGGTAGATGTTTGTGACTCTGGACTTAATCTTTACTGGGCGTCTACGCCATGCATCTGTCAAGACAATTCAGTCGTATATGGAAAAGCTTGCAGCCTCATATCTCTGATGTTTCGCCCTCCTCTGCCTTGTGCTTTTATGACACTTGTGTCCACGCTGATTTATTCCTGATATGGAGGCTCGCTCTATCATACATACGACACCACTGTTTTAACTAATCATGCACTGGTCACAATTAAAGTAGATGTGGGTGACAGCCCACCCTGGAGCCCCAGAGCTTGTATGCTGCTGAGGACTTTGTGTCCCATCAAACTGACTTTTTTAATAGCCGTTAACTAGACTCCAGATGTTTCAGCATCTGTTCTCTGTGAGACTTTGAAGGCATACATCAGAGGAGAAAATTATTTCATATAATGGTTATAAGAAAAATGTTAGGCAAGAATAAAACGCTATCTGAGCGAACACAATTAGATATGACTTTTATTACGTTTCGCTGACTGGGGTCAGGTGAAAGAGGGTCAGGCTGACTGTGAGCGACACTTGCTCTCGTTCAGTAATGCCCGGCATCACACTCGTGCTTCAGACCTCAGAGCTGCACACCTGGGAGGGGCTTTTTACTGTCGGGAACTGTGCAGATCTGCTGGGCAGCTGGGATTTACTGCCTTGCTCAAGGGCATACCAACTGTGACTGTTGAGGGGAAGACTGTTCACTTCCCAGGCCCGGAATCATAAATGACCAGATCATCTGCTCTCTTTAAGAGGCAACTAGGTGGATCTGGAAAAGTGTGAGATGTTAAGTGGTATGTAATTTTTAATTGCATACCAGAACTGTTTCTAGTTTTCCTGATTTCCTGCTTTTATTTATATTTTATTATATTTGTTACATTTAGTATTATTGCTAGAACAGTCTTTTAAGTCCCAGTTTAGACTGCCAAACAATATTGTTTCCATTTCTGTACTTACATCTGAGGAAACATAAAATATTTTCATAGCATTTGTAATCTATCTTTGTCTCACATTACCCCACAACCCCGGTTGCAAGCAGTCCCCTCCTCTGTTCACTGAAAAACTGATTGGAAACTTGCAGTGTTCCAGCTTATATAGCCTAGATCCTAAGATGAGAGTTAAAGTCACTTTTCGTGTGCATCTCCAAATTCTACCAACTGTCCCGCACAAAAGGCTTGCTCTTAATAGGCTTAATTGTTTTGTCTGTAAAACATGGCATAAAATGTGACCAAAACCTAAAACCGGATTCAAAAACAAATGTAATATTACAAGATTTAAACTAAATACACAGCCAGAATAAACACAGGATGGTGTTTTCTTTTCATAAATCAAATTTACAGATTAAAGCGCTTTCAATTTGAGCCCAGTGTAAAGAAAACACTTATTTCCCCAAGCACCTAGAGAAGATATTTACATCTTAAAACTCATGTCCATATCCATAACCTTTATCCTCCTTAATACCGTGATATCAACTGACCTAAAGTTTTCTTTCCATTCGGTTTGACTCAAGAAGCTGCTTAACAAGAGAATTATGTCAGAAAGTTTCTGGATTTCCACTGGCTTTACTGTTTACCAAAATTGACTAATGTTCGACACTGAGCAACCCAGTCTGACACGCACTAAATCTGGTGTCCAAAGCTGTTGTTCGTTGATGACAACCCACAACAACTGTCTTTTCCAGAATACGTCTATCACAATGCGGACACTCCGGACAAGTCCACATTGTTTCGATATGATGACAAAGCTAATGTCCTTGTAATGTCACATGCATGTCTATCTGGTATGTATGTTTGCTCTTATATCTGATTGCTTTTGCTTTTCTTTGTTTTCTTTTCGTGTTATGTTACACTTGTCTGTATACCTGCGCGTCACATTGAATTTCACAGATGCTGCTGAAGTGCCTTTGATGGAGACTTGTGTGAAAAATGCAATAAACAATTTTTAGTTCTACAAAAAAAGGGTCTTCAAAGGAAATTCTTGAAAAGCTAACAAGTGCGGCCGCTGCGTCCAAATGCCACATGCTCCTGTTTCTCCAACTATGTAAACTGTGGGATGTGTAATCAGAGTTGTTTAATGCAGACATCTGGCAAAGACAGCATCACAGCGCTGTTAAATATTTACAGCTGGGCCACAGTCTTTCACCTCATGAAGCGTCACCATCTGGGTTGAATACCAGGCCCATCTCGCTCGGCTTTAACCAGGGAAACCAAACTAAAATAAGCTTAGCAAAGGACTAAATGAATAGGCTGAGCTTCCCACTTGTGAAAGAAAAATGTTACAGAGCAAACACCAATACCAGCCATTGATCTTGATAATCTTTCCTTACAGAGAAATGAACGCCTCCATCCTCCAAGTGACTATCAAGTTGACGGCTCTGCACAAATAAATGTTCAAGCCAATGCCCCACACAGAGGATAATTTTCTCGGTGAAAACATTACACAACTGGTGACATACGAGCTAATTGAGCAAGCAATGCAAAGTTGAAACCTACACTTGGGTCCCTTTTGTACCGATGAAATTAGGGAGTGTGTGGAGGTGGAGGGTTTGGTGGGGGGTGGGGGTCGGGGTCGGCTGTTGCCAAAGCCACAGACAACACAATGAACATTCAATCAGCCCGCTGCCAGAAAAGAAAACACATGTGAGACGAGGCTGGCTCGGCTCCAAGTACCAACTGCCCCATCTAAGTCCTGATGAATTTACATCAGCCCTTGGGCTTTGCACCTGCTGGTGATCCAGTTAATTTTCCGTCCACCTGCTCCAGCACATTGACTGACCCCGTCTCTGTGAATCCAGCTGGGCAGTCTGCCTAAGTTTTGAGCATCAACCTCTGTCTGTTTAGAGAGGTAGGTAGGTGGGTGGCGGGGGGGCTCTGGGAAACAAGACAAATTGGGTTAAATGTGGTTTGATTGAGGAAAAATAAAAAGCCATTTCTGAAGTAAATTAGTTAACTATGGGTTGTTGTTGTTTTTTTTTTTTTCATGAGCTGTTTCTTGTTTTATGAAGGCAAAAAAAAAAAAAGTGCACCATACCTCTCTTACTTCCTTGATATGCCTCCCCTGCATGTTTACCTGAACAGGAGACTTTGGCCAGGTGACAGACTTAAAGCTTATACTTTTGTGTATTTTTGTCCAAGAGGCTGAATCACGCACACGGGAGCGCTAATTCAAAACATATTTGTCTGGAAACTGAGCTGGCAAAACTTCGTGACAGGCTACTGTAAAATAAGTTGCCCAGAAACATGCCATAACAGAGCACAGAGGCAAAACCTGATACCGTGATACGGGAACAGGAGGACTGAACGGAGGTGAATGAACACGAACAGCCTCCGTGAGAGGAATGAAAACAATGCCGTCTTGAATGAGCTGCTCTTCATTTAGCTTTTTTTTTTTTTTTTTCCTTCCCTAACATGTTTCTGTCTTTCCTAGGATGTTGTTTTTTGTTTTTTACCTCATGACCCTCTCCGCCGCGGCTGCTGCCGGACTCCAGTCGCGGGTGGCCGGGCGAGAGCACCGCCGCCGGGTCAACCAGGTCACTCCCCGCAAGTGTCAACATGGAGTCCCGCTTCTGGTGGATAATTTCCCTTTTGACTTCGGACCGCAGATCCAAATAGCAGACGAGGGTGACAGCGTGCAGACACAGCGACAGCAGGAATAATCCCAGGAAGACGACACTGCCGCTCCGACTCCTGCACTTCTTGTTGCACGTGCACGGAGCTGCTCTGGGCATCACTTTGTCCGGGAAATCCTCCGCGGGTGAACCATCGCGTGCCATTATCGGACGGAGCGCGAGTCAGATGCTCTTTATCTCGGCATAATCGGCTCGTTTGTCTCGCGCGGGCCGCGGCTATTCATTTACGTGGAGACTCATAGGTGCAGCAGCAGCAGGTCGGTGCAAACTTCTTCGAGTATCTGTAGTAACAATGGAGGCCCGCCCACCTCCTCTGTGATTGGCCGGTGACAATTACGAACCCAGACAATCCGGGCCAGAGGTTGGACGGGCTGGATGCACCAGGTGAAGTAGTGGAGCGACACCCAATGGTGAAACGGTGCAGCTGCAACGCCCGTGAGCTCATGATAATGAGATTATAATTGTGAGAATATTCCCCTTTTTATATTTGTTTGTTGCTCACAGTGTGTCGTGTGATTAATACTCAGCACACCGAGGCAGGAAAACACTTTTCGTGACCTTCCTGTGTGATTTATTTTCTGTTATGTGAGTGTGAATGGGAAGGGGTGGTCAGTCGCTGATGTAATGTATATTGTTTATGCATTTGTTTTATGTGTTTTAGGCTGTGGACATGCTATTTTTCACTGGTGTACTTTGTTTGGCACTTTTGTTTTGTTATGTGGGTGGCACATGAAGCGGTGGTCCTGTGTGAAGAATTGATTTAAAACCCTGGTAAATATTGCCCAGTGTTGTTATTGAAAAAGAACAAGCGGTTGATGATTTCATCATATCATCAAAGAGTGGAAAAGTATTGCAAATTATATCCTTAAACAGACTACACATTATACAATTATATTTAATTACATCTGGACCCTGTCAGGCTGAGCAGTATGATAGCAGGCCTGGAAGAGAGTCAATGTCACAGTGAGGTCAGCACCACTCTGTGTACAACACCATCAAATACTCTAAACACGTGTCACTCAGCTGAACTTGGGGAATATTTTGACATTTATGTTACCAAAAAGCCAGCTGAGGACAATGCCTTAACGAGATTGAATGTGGCACTGCGGTTTTCTACATTTTCAACATCCAAAGCAGACCTTACTTTTGTTCTTTTTCAGATGTAGACACTTTGATCTCTGGAGCAAGGAACCAGAGGTAGCCTGTGGATCAGTCCGTCCTTCAGCCTTGAGATGATGAAACCAGTGCACTGAGCGGGGCTGAAACTTGGGGCCTTGATGGATCACCAGCTTAGATTAGTTTTCAGGCAAGTGCCACAAAACATCAGTCTTTATTTCTTTGGGACAAAACCTGACATTTGAGTGCACTTGACCTACAGAGAGGTACACTCTTTCATAATATGAGCTCACCCTGACAGACACTGAGTAATCGCTGGTATTCACTTGGTATTGTGGGAGAAAATAATGGAGAAGAATGACTTTAGGAGATCAGAATACGGGTATTTCATCACTGTGAAATGTTTTCACCATGAAGTTGATTACTGTAAGAAAGCGAAAACTCATTGCTGTATTTCTCAGGATTCTGCTCTTACTGCCACTATATCACAGCCCATTTTTCCTCAGAACAATCTGCTTCATTCCTCCAACTCGTCTGCAGAAAAAAAAGTGATTCTAGTCAGCTGCCACTGAAGGGCAGCATTGCCAAGCCATAAATCAACATGCCAGTGTCCTGATGAACTTGAACTTAAAAGACAAAACAGATTCACATTGGGTGAATAATGACGTTTAAATAATAACTTTTTATATTCTCTATGTATATCTTTATGTAGCTTCTCTGTGGTCAATAATTATTATCCACATATTAAGCATCCTCCTTCTCTCTCTCCCGGGAAGCCATTTCTTCATTGTTTGAATATAAGATAGTGAAATCATAGAGGGAAAGACATTCAAAGTAACCCTCACAGGGCCTGTGACTGAGGGCTCAGCCTAAGCATGTTCGCCACGCTTTTCATCCAAGCAGCAGGCACAATGACTTTGAGACACGGATAATTTGGGACTGGAATAGTTAGGCATATACATCTCCTATGATTTCAACCGATTTTAAAATGTTTTATAGGTTACTATATATGTGAGGAGTGGCTATACTTTTTATTTTATCTTTTTTTTTTCAGTGTTTGTTTTTGTGGAAAGCGGAGGTCAGAGGGCCTTGAGGTAAAGGCCACTTGATGAGTCATCTCTATATCTGCTGCCTTGTTTGAGACAACACAACTTTAAAGCCTGAGACAATTAAAAACAGTTTTGTCGTGATTGTTTTTTTGGCACCGAAAAGAGGAGGAATAATTCTTGTAGCATCCCTCGGGCATCAATGCAGCGTTCATAAATGGTGTGCCACTCTATCCTCTCTGAGCTTATAACAAGATTTAGAGGCTTTCCCTGCCAGATGATGGAGTTTTGCAGGAGGAATAGGCACTCTTATATTTTACCACGGAGAGCTGAGTGGTGGGCTGAGGCTCATGACTCCAACAAGCTGTTGGAGGACTGTTTGGTCTCGACCAAATTTTTCCTTTCTCCTACGAAGTGATAAAAGAGCACAAATTCAAATCCACTTTCAATTGCCATCATATGGAATCACATATGAGCTAAAGTGATTCATAGCTAATAGAACAATACCATTACATATTACAGTAAATTGTTTTATTCCTCTCAACCCCATACATTACCTTCTCAGGAGTCATTGTTTCTGCACATTGAATTGTGGAGGTGTAACCTTGGCTAATTGATATGCTGTGGTGTTTGATTTCCTACCTATAAATCTCCTGTAAATTGGACCACGTCTCCCATTTCTCTGAACAATGATTCATTCACTCTCATTGTGGGCGTCTGTCTTAAGAATCCTTATCAAGATCAGAGAGCTCTCTCTCGCTGCCGTTATTTTTGTACCGTGCTGCTTTTGTTGCCCTTGCCTCTCTCTCTCTCTCTCTCTCTCTCTCCATCTATTTGCTGACTGTTGTGTGCAACTCGTTGGGTAAACTTAATTGATTTTTTTTATTCCACACAGAATTGTTGCAGTTAAGTGGCCTTTTTAGCATGCATTGGATTGTTTTGTGTGTTTTCTCAAGGCAACAGTGTTCAGGGGAATCGGTAAACAATAACATTTTAGAGTTGCTCATTTACTGTTTTAGTTTTCTTATTATTTTTGGGGCAATTTGCCTTTATTGAATAGGAGCAGTATGGGCAGGAAACCTAGGGTGAGAGAGAGAGGGGTATGGCATGTAACAAAGAATCTCAGTCAGAAATTAACCTTGAGAGTTGCTTATATCCATATTAAACATGAGGGAATTTAACAATTGTTTAAGTAAAAGTAATAGTCAAAGTCAAACGATTCATTATACAGGTTGTTGTAATAATTATCTACATCCTATTTTCTATCTATTTTTTCTCTGTCTTCATCATTCTGAAACCATAACACAACAAATGTTCCTGTATCATGCCACCTAAAAAGAGGAAAACATTGTATGATGTTATTATTTTTAAGTTACATTTGACAGGGTTGGAAGAATGTTTAGCTGACAGATCTGCTACATGTAAATCAATGCCATAATAATACTTCCCCAGTAGAACTTTTGCTCCATTGATTTTCCGGTTGAGTCAGACACAATGAGGGCAAATGACACAAAAATACACAATCACTACGTAGTCTAAAGATAACCAATGTAAGTTTAACGTGAAATTGCATAGGTGTAACAGTCAAACTGTACTTGAAGTTTGTGCTCACTTTCATTAAAGTTCCTGTCCCTAAAAGTGTTTTTTCCTGTGCCAGGTTTCCACAGTTTAAGGCAGTTTATTAAACAGTGACATTTTGCTGTAAAAGCTGTAATTTTTGTTGCCTCGCCTCAAGCTCAGCAATGCTCCTCTGTGAGTAACCTTGTCAGTAACACTGTCGCACCATCAGCAGAGACACGATTCTGTAATTGTATTTATTAATGAAAAGCAGAGGACCTGAAAGACATACAGCACACTCACATGACACCGAGTGGAGAGCAACCATGGAATACAACCATGCCATTGATCAACTACATAATGGATATCAAAGTATAAAGAATAGTACATCACCTATTAATGCTAAAACAATGATTAATTAGTTTCAACATGTTTTAGTTATTAAAAATGCTATATTCATGCTTAGTTTATACAAGGGAGCCTAAAGAATAAATAAATCTTCCTCAGCATTACACTTATTTATATGACTACAGAAGTCATATTTTTGTCTTAACAATGCTGGTAGATGCTACCTGTTATTACGTTCTTCATAGTAACATATAAAGTTATGTCGAACCTGGTGGCCAACAGTTGTCTATTTACATCCAGCAGATATGGAGTAACTTTAGTATGTATTTGTATTTGCCCTCTTTAGCTCTGTTTTTGTCTCAGCTAACACCTGAGGTCAATATCTGGCTCTTTAGCAGCTAAAGGCTCCACCATGTTCACCAGCAAGCTGCTAACTTTGTCTATCAACTGTTTGGTGCTGGGCAGGTAACGTGGAGTGTGTATATCAGAGCTCTCTCGCTGCTGGCTGTAAACTAAAGGCATAGACGTGAACTTAAACATCAAAGTTGCAAAAAAAAAAAAAAACTAACACACAACACTGAGCTTACAGATGCAGGGTTAATTATACGTGGGTTCATCACTATAAGTGACCCTTTCACTTGTGGCCATTTGATCCATGGTTGATGTATATAGTGATTATATCTTATTTAAAGATATTGAAGATTTCCACCTTTAAATGTCTGTAAACACTAGACCTATGTTATATATTTTATTTTTTGAGAAATCCGTAATTTTAATCAGGTGGTGGGTTTCCTTGCTTGCCTCTTGCCATAACTTCTGGGTGAACACCAACACTAACACCAAGGAAACTAAACACAGTTAGCATAGTGGTGAATGTGCAGACCACTCCTTCATCTCTCCCCTCTCAGTTCCACAGGTTATCAATGTGGGTGATGGAGGCACCTGTATTTTGGTGTGTTTTTATTTCATATGTTTTCATTTAATTTCATGTGTATGTTAATTCAGAAATGTATACACATACATCGTTAATGTTATGCCACGTTTACAACGCTCTGAGCTTTTTATGCATACGTGAGTAACAGACTAACGTTAGTAAGTTAGCTAAACTGTGCTAATACCTAACTAAATTAACTCTGAGCGTGTTAACTAATGCTATCATTTTCTGATGATCAAGATCTGGTATTTCATGGCTCTCTGATAACCATGAAATATATGCCTTTGTTGTTTTATAGCTAAGGGTTAGTTCATAGCCTACCATGCAAAATTAATAATCAGCAGGTCTGTAAATGTTTCATTTGAATATTTGATATTTCCATAACTTTTTTTTTTTGTTTCCTTGGTAAGCATTGGATATGTCTGACAAGTCAGAGAGTGAGGAAGGAAGTCGGTGAGCGTGACTAAACGTAAAAAAAAAGAACATGACTAAATATATTGTCAATAAAACTTCAATACATTACCTCGACCATGAACAATTTCTGCAGGTCCGATTGATTTTCATCAGCTATGGTGGTTGTTTAACATTGAAGACAAGAGCCCCCATCATTCATCAATGTCATCAAACTAGTCTTTCCTCATTGTTTTGATTTGCATAAGTTACGTACTGTACGTTTAAATGTTAATCAGTATATGAGCCAAGTGAAGTATACTTAATCGCTAACGCACAAGTTAGGTTGTGGCTAACAACAACAATAAAATACATCTCATTAAAACATTATAAAGAGAGTTTCTGTGGCTCTTTCTATTGTGTTTAAATTCAGAAAATGACAACGAAAAGTATGTCACCGGAAAGAATTCACAAGATATAAATCTGAATACTTTGAGCCATTATCCCACTCAGACTTTTTCATGCTTTGCTGCCAGCTCCATCATCAGAGGAATGTTTACACTTTGGGTTTTTAGGCATCAAATTGCTCAGTAACCCAGAGCAGGTACAGAGATAGAGATAATTTAGACTATCTTCTTGTAGACACTTGTATATCTTGGATGTGCTGTGAATCTGAGTCCAATAAAGAGGTGAAATATGAGTGAGATGCATGTTTATATGCGCCTTTATATGTGCCAGGATGATGGTTTATGGCCTCTCCGTTCCCTGGATGTTTTCCACGCTGTTTGTTTCTGAGGCTCATGTGAAGCTGCCACCTCCGAGAGCACAACCTCTGCCAGCTTCAATAAACAGTCACTACCCATATCAAAACCTCTAAGCCAGACCAACAGCATGATCAAGAGGCACACCTGAGGTGAACCCAGAGGTAATCTACCCTTCAGCCTCTCTCTCTGTGCCACTCACTTAGTTTATTTCTCTCTGTCTTTTGTGTTTTACTTACTTATATTTTCTCCTGGTTTGGAATGGGAGCAACATTTTGCCTCCTTGTCACCTCTTTGATTCGACTTCACCGAATCCTCAATGATATGTCATGATAATCTCACACTCTCATATGCTAGGGTTTTCCATTTCCTACCCAGGACCTAGTGACCTTGGTCCATTTCATTTTTTGCCAACCGTGCACTGTCATCTTTTTTTTTTTTTCTTTCTCCCTCAATCTCACTCTTATCCTAAACTCAGATCCCCACTTCCCAGCACAGCCATTGCTGGGAAGAAAAAGATCAGTTTGCTCAGGTCAGTGTTCATATTTTTCTTCCTTAGAGGGTGAATTCACCTGTACTCTACAAGATGAATGACTCGAGTGATCTCACTGGGAAATGGCTGAAGTTAAACAATACAATCCCCCTCCCCCCGTCCTCCAAACAGCTGAATGGACAGGCTAAAAAAATGTGAATGGGAGGTGTGAAAAGGCCAACCACTGAAAGTAATTGCTGTTGTGTTCACCAGAGGGAAAGAAAACAACTTACAAAGAAGTTGTTTGCAGCACACCGTGAGAGCAACATATCAAATTGCCCAGGTAGAAGTGGCAAAGGTTCAATCACATGAAATGAACTAATTCATTTTAAAGCATGAATTGTCTACTATTCTGACTTTCTTTCTGACAGGCACTCCCAACAGAAAGATCTGTGTTACTGCTGCTAGGCACTGTCACACATTGGTGACTTTAAAAGGCAGCAAGAGACAACTGAAAAACGTGTACTCTGATACCCACACATCATGTAATGTGGTGCAAGTGAACTACACACAGCACTCTCAGGATGTGATGGTTTATACCAAAGGTTACCAAAGGGACAAAGAAGGGGGGGAAAAAAATCCAACACTGGTAAGTCATCTTGTTGAGGGCGTGTGTTTCAAGGTTTTTAGTTCATTTCTTTGGGTGGGGAAGATATCCTGGGAGCGCCTGTACCCATATAATACATTTACAGGTTCTTTTTTTACGAGTGGTAAAATTATATTTTGTAGAAATCCCTCTATAGAGCTTATATTTTATGCACTGTTTCCCTGTGCAATGTTTAAATTCAGCCGTGGTTATAATCCACATAAAATAACTTTTTCATTTGGTTTTACAACGTAGTTTGCAAAGCAATAAGGGATATGGCAGGTTTTAAACAATTCTGGTTCCAATTTGGCCTATTTGTGCTCATATCACTTCCATACAAGATAAAATTATTTTGCTACAGGACCCATACTGGTGACACTACAACCTTAGATCTCATCTAAAAGCACTCACTCCGGTTAAAACAAGACTAAGAGTCTACAGCTGTGCAATGGGCTCTGTGAGGTATGACCGTAATGTCAGCACAATCTCCCCCCATGTTGTTTATATGTATGGCTAAGAAAAGTGGTGGAGTCTGGGGCTCAACAAGCAGCCAGTTGATGATTTACAGTCAGTAATACATTCTGTGAAGGAGCAAACACGTATGACAGCATGACGTTGTGGGCCAGCATGAGGTTAAAGGCACAGAAATAAAGCTGTTGGTAATCAAGACATGGGAAATTAACCTTCATTAACACAGTTTTATGATTTTGAAGTCTTCTCATCAACTCCAATCAATAAAATATATCCTCTAAGATAGGGAAAAGGAGTTCAATGCCTGGATATAACACAATCTACTGTGCAAAAAGATCCTACAATAACCTTTGACTTAAGTGTTATAGGGTCCTGTCTGGCATTTTAGTTGAATGCTGTCTGGCAGGAGTGGAGAGAACAATCAACAAGCACCTCTGCAGGTGGTTGTTTTTCTCTCGAGCTCTCACATTGATCTGGCTATAAGAACTGGCCAGCTACAACTGCCTTTGACTTTGTGAAGTAGAAGCTCAAAATAGAAAGCACAGAACCACATAACACTGTCTGGGATTCTATAACCCTAACCCTAACCCTCATCTACTGTGGAAGATAGTCCCATATGGTTCCAAAAGCTTAGGCAAGCTGCTGTGCCCTGCTCTTTCTAGCATGTGGGGAACCAGATGTACATTTTCTAAACTCGCCATTATACTGCATCCTTGAGATCTTTTCTATTGTAAAACTATATAATAGCTACTTACAACTAACAAAAAAAATTATGTTTGAAAAAAGAGCAGATAAAGCAAAAATCTCACCTTTGTGTCCAAGAACACTTTAGTGTGCAGTGCCCTAAGCCATTTTGCTGTGGATTCTCCAGACAATTACCTGCACTATTCACATATGGGCTCAATCAGACATGACAAGGACTTTGTTTGAGGGAAATGGCAGAGTTAAGTCCATTTAATGGCCAGTACAACCGATTCAGAAATTTGCGTTCACACATACAGCTCATTCATGTAATGTCCGGAGAAGTTCAGGGTAGCAGTGCGAATGTGTGAATACAGC